CTTTCCCTTTTTATTTCACTTTGGCTGTCTAGACAACACATAAAATGGAATAACAATAATAATAATAATAACATAAGAACTCGATGGATATATATATAAATATCAAGTCAATTGACATAAGCTCAGTGCAAGTAGTAGTTGAAGAGGGACACGAGGGAAGCTCCGACCAGCGATCCGATCACCGGCACGGCGGCTCCCACGGCTCCGCTGGCGGCCGGCCCAGGCGCCGGAGCAGAGGCCTCCTCCGCGGCCACCACGACGGCGGCGGCGGCCATTATGATTCCGCAGGCGATCTTCTTCATCTCCATTTTTTTTTGCTGAGACCTGGAAGAAGATTTTCTTTTTTTTTTTTGGTTTTTTTTGTTTGTTTTTTGTCCTGTTTTTCTGTTTCTTGCAGGTCTGAGGAAGATCAATGGTGCTGGTGGGGATTTTATAGGGAGAGAGTCTGGTTATTTTTGGAAAGGTAAATACGTATTTTTAGAGGAAATCCATGAACATTTACCGTTGATTTTGGCAAATCGGTTTCGGGAGGTTGTCATGTATGGCTTTGCGTTGTTTGAGGGCTTCCATGCAAATTTAACGGGTCTGAAAACTCCATAACATGAAAATATTGTATATGTATATATATATATTTATAATTATGAAGGAATTTGGAGTTTATTCGTTAGTTTTTTTTATATAATTTTCTTTATTATATTATAACGAAATGTGTAGACTCGTAATAACATTTCATTCTGGGGCATATATACGATCGACAACCGTCATGGATAATGTCATCTACAGAGATATACGTGGCATATACATACAAATGATTCAATTGTATAGATACGAGAAATGTCCGTCGTACGAATCAGCAGTAGATTCTGTCCGGGGCCCACCCGAGTCTCAGAGATATGTTCTTCATTGTACATCTTTTTCCGACCAAAACATATCCACTGAACTCGGAATCTAGCTTTGTTAAATGTCGTGTCCTCCAACCCCACGTGGATATTAGGTTATAAGGAACCGGGCCAGATATGATACGAATTTAAAACACGGGCCGAAAATGTTGGGTTGGGCCCATTTAATATCTGGGTAGAATCACTCACCAGTGTCTTCAGAGATTGGATGCACTGGGAATTTAATGTTGGATGGAGATTAATATTAGATTCTGGACAAAATATTTCGTGTCACAATGAATGCATCATTATTGATGTACATATACATAATGAACCACACACACACAAAATCTATGTTCATATCCACACGCCTATTGGATATTTTTTTATACGATAATATATAGTTCTTTCCTTGGAGATATACTTTTTCGATTTTGGGATGAAGGGAATATAACCATCCAATATGTATATATATATATATGTATGTATATATAATATTATTAATAATGTTGACGCTGTCAAACATCTCCATTTATTTACACCCACAAGGCCATGGGGGGGGGGGGCAACGACCAAAAGTGGAACAGAAATTGAGAGTTGACTTCGATTTATTATGTGTATATGTTTTTGTAAGATGGGCAAACTCTTCATCCCAAAATCGGCTGCTTCCCTTTGAAGGGCATCCTTAGGCATGGGACTCTTCATTACCCCATCCCTCCTCCTTTATATGTTTTTTTTAAAATTTTTTTTTTGTCCAAATCCAATTCACGATGAGTTCGGAGACCAACACCTCTTTACTATTTTTTGGTACCAAATTCTTCATGCATATATATATATATATATATATATATATAGGATGAACTTGGTGCCTATAATCATTTAAATATGGTGTAACGTTTTCCTATCCATTGGAAAGATATAATTGGACCAAAGATTTGGTGAATTTTTGAATTATAAAATAAAATAGAGATCATGTATAAGGTAAAGTTGTATGTATCCGGTACATATTCCAAGAGGGTGTGTGTTAGTTTCTTAAAAAAAAAATTGTAAAAAAGACGAAATTAATGAAATTTCCTATATAAATTTGTATTGGTTATGACAAAAAGTTTAATTGAAGGGAAAGGAAAAGAGGAGTATGGGAAAAGGAGATAAAAGACACCGTTCAATTTTTTAAAAAAAAAAGCAGATTAAAGAAAACAGGAAAATAAATAAATACATTTTAAAAAAAAAGAAAACAAATAAATAAAATAGAGGGAAAACAAGTGGCAGATAATTCACCATCATATTATATGGACATGTATTCCTTGATACAACTTTTCTTAGTTAAGATGTCCGAATATGAACAAGATGTCGTGTCATAGGTTTTGAAGCTTTTTTTTTATTTTATGAAGCCATCTCATAATTTTTTTTTATAATCATGATAGTTCCCCACATCTTCGCACCGATTACATCCACCCTAGATTCGGGACCTTTTTTATCTAGAAATTACATCACTCCCCACCAGTAGAATCGAACTCATGACTTCGATGATGACTTTGTCACCTCTCAACCACTGGGCCACCAACTATTAAGTTCATCTCATAATTCATCATCATATATTTGTCCGCATATATATATATATAAATCATGGTATACGTATATATGAAAGCCAAATGCATATATATATACATACATATATATGTATATCATCTATGTTCTCAAGGGAGATCTAATCAATCAGTTTAAGAGTGGGGTCTCTTATACAGAATACATTTGGGCCATTCTTGTCCTTATTCTTCTCCCCTCGTGAGGTCTCTTTCTCCTTACTACAAGGAGAGCCACTCAATCTATTTTTTTTCCTCAACAACCAATGATCTCGCTTTAAAATAAAATAAAATAAAAGTTTATATTTTGTTTTGATTGGACTTATAAACAGCGAAAAATTTGGAAAGAAAAATAACGGGGGGTACTATTGATAATAGTATCATTAAGAAGATTATTATAAAATTTAAAATGAAAAACTATGATTTGTACAAAAAAAAAGGTAAAACGTAACGTATATAAAACAATAAGAGAAAGGGATATATAGTGAAGTGAATATGATTATATATATATATATATATCGTGAATATAATTCAATATATGGATCAAATAAAGAATATGGACAAAATAACACAAGAAAAATGGATCAAATAAAGAATATGGACAAAATAACACGCGCGGACAATCATCACACTTATGTATAAAGAGACCTCTAAGGATTATATGGTTCAAAACAATTATTTTTTTATTTTATAATATATATTAATCGTTTTCCTTTTCTTTTCTAATGTCATACATGCATCATTGCCTATTATTCTATTGCAAAAGATATCCTCGATTTATATATATATATATATATATATATGTGTGAAATTTTAGTTGTATTCTCTTTTGAGGTACCCGTGATTAGGGATGTCAATTAAGCCCGGAGTCCGAAACCCGGCCCGCCCGCCCGAAAATTATAAGGACATGGGCCTAAAAAATGTAGGCTCATTGAACTTCGGGCTTTCGGGTCTCAGGCCAAATGGGCTACGGGCCGGTCGGGCCGGGCCAGTCGGGTCTCGGGCCGGGCTTGAGGCCCGTTAATTTTTTTTTTATTTTTTCTAACCTTCTTTTCTAAAACAAAGTTTTACCTCTCTATACTTATAAATATGTGTGCCTAAATATATATATATATATATATATTTGAACCAAATGATGAACTTTTATATCTTGGTTCCAATTAAACTTTTTAAAGTGACGGAAATTTTGAATTTCTTAACCATATTATATCATATATAATATATATAAGTTTACATTTTAGAAAGGGTAGAAGTTTTTAAATATATATATTTTTAAACCTTTATTTGTATATGAACATATTGATTTTTTTCTATAGGTTTTAAATTAATTACATCATAGAATTTTTTTTTATATTATGTTTGTTATTTTTTATCACGTTTAAAAGTTTTTAATCGCATGTTATGGTGTTGGAGAATTGAACAATTGGATAATTTTTTCAATTTTATTTTTATTTGTGAACTAAATAACTTTGTTGTTATCGGTTTTAAAAATATTTTTGTTAAATGTTTCATATTATTATTATTATTATTATCGCAAAAAAAAATTATTTAATAAAAAGTCCGAAGCCCGACCCGAACCCGCCCGAAGCCCTGTAGGGCCGGGCTCCGGGCCATCGATCCTAGACCCGAAAAATAAATGAGCGGGTCGGCCCGACCCGAAAAATTCTAGGCCCGAATTGAACCCGGTCCGAACCCGGCCCGACCCGTCCATTTTACACCCCTACCCGTGATTAATCATGTGTCAAGGTTCAATTTGGCCTCCTTTGCCTTTTTTTTTCCTTTTGCATTGTTGGGTCCTCCCCCCAACAAAAAAGTCATCTCGAATCATATAAGGCAGATCCATTTAAAAAAAAATTATTAGAGATATTTATTTATTGTTATCTATAATTAATACAAAAAATATTTACCATAATATTTAACTATTATTAAAATTAAATAAACAACAAAATCATCGGACACATGCCCCTTTTACTCAAATACACATCCATCCATGTAAGTAGTTATTATAATCACCTATATATATGTGCGCGTGTTATCAAATGTTATATATATACACATTTATATTGGTCATGTCTTTACATATACGTAGAGAATGCACATATGGAAGGATTAAAATAGATCTTTTGTATATACTTATAAATAATATTAAAAATTGTACGTACGTGCGAGTTACATTAAACAAATCGAGATGAATAATATATAATATATATGGAGAAATTGAGACGAGGCAGAAAAGGTCGCCTCCTTTAGAACAGCCTTGGAACACGAAGAAAAACAAATCGTAAATACTAACAAACACATGTCCAATATTCGACATGATTTTGGAAAACTGCGACATGTAAATGAATAATTTAATTGGATTCAATATAGCATTGATTGATGCATTCAAACGTTTTACTAATATATATATATATATAGCTTCGGGATTTTAAACAAGAATTAAATTAAGTTAAATTATTTTCTCTTTACGTATATACCAATGCAAAACCAAGATCTATTATTTCATTAAAAAAAAAATTATATTTTACAAAATATATATGGAAACAATCAATGGATGGATCATATATATAGATGCATTAATGGTACGTAAAAGTGGGGTTTGAAGGGTCAAAGGAGGAAGGGATGGTCTCTCCCCAAACAAAGGGGTGAGAAATTGATTGGGCATTAAATGTTTGCCTGAAACAAGGAGATGCGTGTGATTCACTTTGCGAAATTTTCCTACTGTTGATATCTTGAATGAATGAATGTTGCACATCATCATCATCTTTCACATACATACATACATACATACATACTCTTTCACATACATACATACATACATACATACATACATACATACATACATACATACATACATACATACATACATACATACATACATACATACATACATACATACATACATGTGCATGCATGCATGCATACATACACACACAAGGACTTAAAATTAGTAATTACACCCACATGCGACTGCTGCTGCTGCTGCGACATCAGCTTTTCTCCATGCCTTCACACGTGTACATCGAACCCCTTGTTTCCTCGTCCTGTTTAGAAAATGATCATTCGTATTAGATCGTTCGTTCAACCTCTGTACCGAGATTTTGCAAAAACGATGATATCCACAGCATACATACTTCTATCATTCCTTCGTTTTGAGGGTTCGATTCTCTCCGAGGTGAAAATGTGAAATGAATTAACAATAGGAAAAAATAACAATAATTAATAACATAGAAAACCGAGTGTATATAGCTCGTGAAAATCAGATTATATATAAATCTAGCTCTCTCTAAAATATTGAAATTCTATAATTTTATTTTTTATGGATTAATACCAAGAAAACATGATACAAGATGACACGTATTGGGTTGGGATACAAAAAGGATGCGTAAATTGGATTCATGTGCTTTTTTTTTTAAAACCTAAACGAATCTGTATATGGGGAACGCACAAGGAAGATTACAAGAGCAAGGGGCGTGTGGGTTTGGATCCCAGTTAATGAGTGTGTGTGTGTGTGTATATCGTGTTGTTGTACAGAGAGAGAGAGAGAGAGAGAGAGAGAGAGAGAGAGATGTGGTCAAAGAGACAAAAGGAGAGGTCTAATCAAAGAACAGTCGATATGAAACAGACGGAGAGAGAGGTGTTATTGTTAGAGCACTGTTCATTTCATCAGTCCTTGCTCCCAAATCTGCTCAACCATCACTCTCTTAGGGCTCCACTCTCTCTCTCTCTCTCTCTCTCTCTCTCTCTCTCTCTACAAACCTGCCAGAGAGTTTTTGTAAATACACAGACACATGTATACGTACACCAACATATATGTATTTGTATTGGGTCTGTATTTCCGGTTGGAGATACGTAATACCGAAGAAGCAATAAATATCTCGAACCAATTTTTTTTTTTTGGACGAGTAATAATCATAGAAAAAAAATAAGTTGAACAACGGATCTTTCGTGAGCGACATGCGTCCATTACAGGTCACCATATGCGATGGGATTTTTATGGGTCATTAAAAACTGAATCTTGTCTTATAATAATAATAATTAATAATATGTTGGGATCATTATTAAAAAAAAAAACCGTATGTCTCTCCACTGACCAAAAGGAAAAAAGAGCATCTTGAAAAAAAGCTCTCTAATGAAAAGCCTAATCCCTGACTGTAACATCTGTTACACCATCAAATCCAACATCAAGACCCACGTAATATATATATATATATATATATATATATATATGTATATAATAAGAAATATATAAGGGCCCATCGTGTTAGAAAAAAATCGACATAAAATAAGGAGATTTTTTGGGGGTGCAATTATTGATTATAAGAGCGTCATATTATTTCTGCATGTGACGTAGATAAATTGGATTATCCTAAGAAAGTGTTGAGCACTCGAGTAGTAATATTCTCTAGTGTCCAGTCTCATTATGCATATCATGATATCACGGGACAAGATCCATTATATTCTTATTTATAAATAAAATCCATGGGTAAACCATAAAATATCTTTTCGAATTAAAAAAATATATATTGAAAACCCCAGAAATAATCAAATTTGAATTATTCCCTTCGAGACACTATTTCTTTGGCACAAACACACAGTATATCTTATACATATACTTGAATAAATGCATAAATCTACCTACAAAAATATTTTTTTTAAAAAAAAAGACCTACAAGAAAATTATAGATTATAATACTCCCATATTTATTATTCACGATCATCTCCCCCCCCCCATTTCGGGAAAAAATATGTTTAAATATATATTATAGTCTCGTTTCCTAAACATAATGCATGTATATGACATCTTACAAACTGAACTTATAATTCCTATCTTATAATTTCACATGCATGCATCCCTTATTTGGAGAAGGTAACGCAAAACCATCAGCACAAAAGTGAATATATATATTGTGTATATATATGTCTAAATATATAGCATGAACATTCTAAAATCATTAACCCAGGATTCTACATTGCCTGCAATTATTTCCAAAATGATTCTTATATATATATATAGTTCTTACTTGGAAAACTTTACCTCCGACAAAACTTGGTCCATTTGAATTGCGTTTATTTATATATACATATATATATGTACTATAACTGCTTAGCCTACTTGGACGATGTCTGAATAGAGTCATCGTGATCATTATCTAACTGTTCTACCTCAGAAGCCGGCTCGTCCTCGTCCTCTTCAAACCCACCAATGCCGTAAGCTCCATGACCGTTCCCGAATGCCTTGATGTGATCTTTGAGAGATCTCTTGTGCTTAAAATCCGACCCGCAAAGGCAATACCAAAGCTTACCGCAATTCTTCTCGTGCGTTCGCCAGTCGCCTCTCACGGCGAAAGCCTTGCCGCATTTCCGACACATGAAGGGCTTGATGCCGTGTTTCCGCTTGTAATGTGTCTGAAGAGTTCTGAAATCCTTGAGCGGCTTTGCCCTCGGATGGTCCACGTTGTTCCGACAGCCCGGGGCGCAGCAGTAGCACGGTAGCCTCAGCATTCCCGTTGGCTGTGTTCCTCTTAGTGATTCAGGCCCTTTTCTGTATTGTGATCCATGTCCCCACATGTGCATCTGAAGTATATATTATGCATATATATACACACACACACAATCATGTTTGAATCTATACGTGCAACATGGATCTTGAAATTTGGCTCAGGATGTCGATTCATCATACATATAAGAGGTCGAGGCAGTAAAATAGGCATATCAAACAAGTTGATAAAATTTTAAAATTTTGAATCATATATATTTAGTTTTGGCCCACCGGATCTAGAGTAATCCAATCAAAGATAAGATATTATACGTCCCAAATAAGAAATTAAAAAAAAAATAACATCAACCAAGATAAATTAAGAGAGGCGACAAAAAAAAATATGTAGAAGATGTGAAATGGTAAGAACAATGTAATTCCACGTAAACGGGTCAAAGGGCTAATCAATACAATGCATGAAGAGGATTTATAATCTAATTAAATCTCATATTTCTTTTAAAAGCAAAAGATGATCAACAAAAAGACTGCAAACTCACACAAGACATGCATAGGTTCGCTCTAAAAAAGTCACAAGGAAAATCACTCCATGATGGTTCACACATACACATGCATATATACGTATATATACATATATAATATAGATATTCTTTGTGTTTGTTTCCATGATAACTGTTGTTTTACACATTAGCATTTAAAAGTGTCTGCAAAATCTGCGAGGAAAATCCAGTTGTACGCAAGATTGCCATGTGAAGAGAGAGCAAAAACACACAGATCTCTGAAGTACCAAGGAGACATAAAGAACATCGGATGTCTTGTTCAATCATCCTTTTACAATATGTCTCAGTCTCTCAGTTCTTTTGTAATGCAATGATTTTATTTATTCATTCATGTATCAGAGAGAGAGAGAGAGGGAGATCTATATATATATAACGATACGTCGTCTTTTCGAGTGATTGAACAAACATGTCCATGTTATTTTGTACACGCATATCTATGAACCCCTTGTGCCTTGTACCGGTGGAAAAAAGGCCAAAAACAATTTTGTGAAAATATACCGGTAATCTTTTTTTCGTTTTTTCTCGAGAAAATTAATTGAACACCTTATACTAACCCATGCTTTTTTCCTCTCTTTACCGTTCCGGTTGAATCCAAACGAAGACACAGAAATCGAAAGTTCTAAGCTTTCTTCTCATACGAGAGTGCGAAATTCATGGGATGGAAGAAGTAGCTTCTAGATTGAAGATCTTGAATTTCCCGAGAGAGGGGTGAAAAGGGCAAGAAAATAAAGATAATCAAAGAAGAAAACCACAAAAAAAAAAAATGTATGCTAATGAGCTCTATCTATAGATAAAAGATCTTGAATGCTAACTATCCTTGGGAGAAAGAAAATGGAAAAATAATACACACACAAAGGTGGGCATTTGACCAACCAATATATAGGTTAAAGTTCAGTATTTCGCACAAAAATTTAAAGATTAAATCTCATTTTAATGTTTTTTTTAAAGTAGGGTTGAGAGTGGTGTGAGTACCTGCATGTTGTTGTATCTGTTGAAGGTCTTGAAGCAAACAGGACAAGAGAACTGGGTTGGTCCAATCAGAATCTGAGAAGGTGTCGGGATCCAATATTGGCCCTTGTTCAGTCTGCTTATTCTGCACCCTCCGCCGTACTCGTCTTCACCCTCTTCGCCGCCGGCGCCGGCGCCGAGAGGATGATGCTCGAGATCCTTCTTGTTTTCGTTGATGTTCTCAGAAGATGAAGACATCATAAGCACAGTGGCCATCTCCTCGGCGCTAGGGCTTGGAAGCCCTATGTGAAGCGCCACAGTGACGTCTCCATAATCAAGATTGGCAGTATCGTGGCGATCATGATCATTATCATCATGGGGGTCATGTTGATCCGATGATGACTTTTCGTAGTCGACATCCATGGAAGTGGAAGGTTCTTGGACTTGCTGTTTGTTGGCGGGGCTGAGGCTGAGAAGGGTTAGGGTTTCCCGGAGAGGAGGCGATGCCGGCGCTGTCGGTGGAAACCGCTGGTTAAAGATTCCTCCTCCGCCGATGTCGGCGCCGCCGTGAGGGAAGAAGAAGGAGGGAGGAGGAGGGTAAGTGGAGGAAGATGAATTAGGATGATGGAGAAAAGGGTTTGATTTGTACCATCCTGTAAAGAAATTGGAGTAAGGATCACTCATGGTGGAGAGAGAGACAGAGAGAGAGAGAGAGAGAGAGAGGGAAATAGTTTGGTCTTTGTGGGTTTGCCTTTATACAAGAGACACAGATCGAGTTGAAGAGGGAGAGAGAGAGAGAGAGGCATGACAGAAAT